AAAGGTAAACTCACTGTAGTATCTCTCCTTCTTTCCTAGAGGTCCTTCCTATTACAGCCAAGGAGGTAGAAATTGACCTAAACAAAAAGATTCTTGTTTTGGCCAAAGTAATGCAATAGATTCTTTCTCCATTGTAAAACCACATAGTAGAGGAGAGACTTTGACTTTATTTTTCTGGAAAAATAGAGTTGTCAGCAGAAGATGATTGTTTATGATGGGGTGTACAGGTAGTAACATCTAATAGCTTACAGGCAAACATGCTGCTTGAATTAGATGAACATCAATAAGACATAGTGATGATGAAAAGCAAGGCTAGAAGTTCTTTTGGGTGCCAGACTGCCAGAATGTGACAACACAGTTCTAGAATTGTCCTCCATGTTATCAAAAATCCAACCAGTGCTGGAAGCTATTCCTTGGTGGACAAATAAGGTTTAAGATTTGTTCAGATATTTCTTCAGTCAAAAAGAAGAGGCATCCTATTCCCTTATTGGACAACAACTTGCAAGTGTATGCTTTACCAAACCTACTTATCCTGGCAATGAATGGACATATGTTGCAGGTGTTATTTTTGGTGGACATCATGTAGCCCATGACACTGTCTTGTTAAAGGCATAAACCATGTACAAATTGTACACAGTATCCATATGTTATCTCCATGCTCATCCTCTACTTCAGTCTTAACAAAATGTATATTTCCATGACTGCACCCACACTCCAACTTCCCCCTGGAATTTAAAGGAGCATTTCCCCTAACGCTACTAAGTCTCACTAAGGAGGTACCTTTTTAAGCCTAACTCAGATTTACGCTGATTTATGCTTTAGGTTGTAAAGTGGCACTGGGCACATCTGTATTTTATGCCCACATACTCCTTGTATTTTATTTTGGGACTGAGTCCCTGCCAAGTGTCATAATTCTTGAACCAGAAGAAAAGACATCTTCAGGTTAAAGTGTCACCCTACCCATCAATCACACTCCAGCACATAGCCACAGCTTGCAAGTTAGTCAGCAGCACAATGAATAATTCCAGCCCAGAACTTTTCTAAAAGTTCCTTCTGTGATTATGTCTAGGACTAATCTATAGTGGAGACTTTTGTTTTTTTAAGTCTTCATTTCTTGACTATACAGGAATGAAACACAGACGTGCAGTAACTGGATAATAAGAACCGTGGAGCTGAGCATACAGCCACCACATACAAGCAACACCCACTGATGTCAATGGGAATTGGGTGTACTCAGCACTTGCAAAATTACACCCTGTGCGATATGAAAGCTTCGGAGGGCTCATTGTCAAGTGCTCAGCACACAAAACTGGGGCCCAACTTCGAAAAGAGCTCCGTGCTTTTTCAGGCACCTAAATACGGAACATATTTTCAAAAGTATTTAGATTGTAAGCTCTTTGGGGCAGGGACAATATGTTTGTACAATGCCTAGCACAAGGAGGTCCTGGTATATGCCTAGGGCTCCACAATACAAACCATAATAATAACCAGCACTAGGCAGCTGAAATTGTGACACTAACAGCCAGATTTTCACAAGAGCTCAGCATCCACCATCGGGGCAGGTTTTTAAAAGTGCTTAACTCCCACCTCGTCACCAAAACCTGCCCCTGATGGTGGATTCTGAGCTCTTGTGAAAATCTGGACCCAAACTAGTCTATAATGTCCTTCCTGCTCCCCGAGCCCTACTGTCCCCCTCTCTCGCACTTAGACCTTTATCTTAAAAGTGAATTTACTGCTCCTCAATGATGGCGCATTGACAGACCCAGAGAATGAGGGGAATCCATTCCTGACTCACTGAATTCAGTGGCAAAATCCCTGGACAGGATTTCATCCTACGTATTTGATTGATTCATGGAACAGGCAAAGCATGGTTAGAGGCAGTGCATACTTCCTCCCACCCCTCTCATATGTCTTAACATGTTCTTGGAAGGACCACATCTGTGTTCCTTTCCAAAAGCAGCCACGGTCAGTTAACAGCTAGAGATAAATTAAGGTCTTCCAGTTTCCCTTGACCTCTCCTCCATTGGACCCAGATGGGCCTACCCGGGATAGAGGGCTCAGTAACAGCAGCTGGGAGGAGGCTTCACAGCCTCCTGGTAAAATCAACTCTGAAATTTGGGGTCTGGATATATTTTCCCCATGTTTGTTGTGTTACCATGGGTGATTGGGTTTCCCTTCATCTTGCCCCTCTCCTACCACCTCCACCTTTAGCTACCCAGCCTCACTCTCAATATTCTTTCCCCTTTCTGACTCCTTCCTCTGTTTTTCTCTTTTACTTCAAGATTCCTTTCCCCTCTCCCACTTCAATCCCAAGTGATCCCTGCCCTTTTGCCCACAAAACCACTCTCCTCCTATAATGATGATCTTGTAGCATATACAGATAAATGAAGGGGCAGAGGTGTGGAATCTAATGTAGACAGCTTTTCTCCTAGCTTTTTATTCAGGTGTTTGAGTTAAATAGAGGTTAAACAAAAAAAGAGGTTTTCAAATAATCTGAGTAAAACCATTTTTTCCTCCCAGTTAAATCAGTTTTCATGTGTCGTCTCTTATGTCAAAGTCCAACCAGTTCCCCAGCCATCTGTAGTTTCCCAGAAATACAGAGTAGACACAATAGAATTTCTAACATAAAATACGAGCCAAATTCTCCCCTATACACACACACTGTGTGATTGTTGTCTTATACAGCATAAAGAAGCAAAACATTTTACCCTGTTTTTTTTCACCTTTGCAGGTCACCAGTTAAGGCTCACATCCTTTGAGATAAAACATGCTCAATAAAAGTAAGTTTGTTAATCTTCATTTATCCACAGCAGTCAAATTTAATTGTTCACTAAAACTGCCTGGTTACCTTGTCTGTAGCCATTCAGCTATTTCTATCCTTTACCCTTACTCAAACACACAACTATGTCTGATAACAAATGGCTTCTCTTTCATGCCTCTTGGCTAATTGTTCAACGACAAGGGTGTGAGCAGCTCTGGCACTCAAAGGATGTGTGAAAGGCCACTTCTGAACAGCCCAGGGACACAGAATCAATGACATTTATATATCATGTGTCATTTCCATGCTTTGCCACAGTAAGTATAGTAAATTGCCAGTTCCAGACAGAAGAGTAACTCTAAAAATAACATTCTGGCCCTCCACATTTATTCTCTGTCAGTGACTCCACATCAGACTCGCTTGGTTTGTGGGTCCAAAGAGGCTTTTTTTGTGACTGCCACTCTGCAAACTCATCCTGCAGTCCTATTCTTTCCCAGTACAGGATGGAAGTCAATGACATTTACCTGAATTCTACACTGGGGAGAAGAGGGCTATTGGGATTTGTGTGGGCTTGATGTCAGAACTTACAGTTCAAAGGGCAGTATGTAGAACCTGCCCCTACTCTATCCATATATACAATGTGTATTTATATAGATAGGTTTCTTCCACAACCTTATGACTCTATTAACAAAAAAGCTTAATGTTTCCCTTGGATTTTTCTTTTGTTCTTGTCCCCTTTCTCACTGTCTCATCTTTAGTCTTTTCAGTTTTTGTTCTGTCTATGGGTAACTTCTCTTTCCCAACTCTAAATTTTTATCCCATTCATTTACTCCCCCTGTCTTCATCTCTAACTTCCTTCCTCTCTCTCTCTCTCCTCTTGATTCCTTCTTCCCCCAAGCTTCCTCCTTTCTTCCTAGCTCTCCTCTATCCTGGCTTCTTTATTCCCCCCCCCCGACCACTCACTCCGTTTGGCTGACTCCTATATAGCCTAGTTGGGAGCACTTTTCATGAATGCGGATTATCCTAGTTGGAGCAATACTGCAGCAGGTGAATAGATCTTCCTTTACTAGAATCATGACTTTCAGCTGGTTGTGGGATGTCATATCCACCTCTGGCTGAACAGCTGATCAACAAGCATCAGGAGCAGGCACTTACTCTGATGGGAATGATCTAAGCTCTGAGGAGGGAGATCAAAATACAAGCCCCCACGGTCTGCTGACTTGTCCAGGACTCCTGACCGGAAGCTAGACCAGGCACATCTACACCTTGGATTAGAAAATGAAACTTTGTTCTTTCTGCCTCGTTTATCATTAGCTTTTGCATTCAGGAATTGGCTGGCAATTTTATAGATTCTATATTGCTGTAGGCACCATCAATCGTGCTCTTCCATAACTGGGTTAGCTCTATAGTCTCAGTGAAGGGAACAGATGTGACTCTACAGCACACGGGGAGCAGATATAGTCAGGAAGAAGGGGCTAACTATCACCATACTTTGATCACAGAAAACGTTTGAATTGTTTTGTTGCTTCCTAACGTGCCGAGTTTGTCATGTCAAATGCTCTTCCAGTAGTGCCCTACGTACTGCGTGTGCCACAGCAAGTCATTGAGATTTCAGTGGAGCTTCCCAACACCGTAAGAAAATAGCAGCAGCAGAGAAGCTGAAGTGGGGAATGAGTAGTGAAAGGGTTACTTTTGGACAAGTGGAAAGAACTCTTGTCAAAATAAGGGCACTTCAAGGGTATAGTGCTCTCTAGTTTGAGCCTCTTTATTTAGGTGTTGGCTCACTTCACAGAGACCGCACATACATTCATTATACGTATAGTTAAAATATCTTGGACCAGATACACATTTGGTGTACATTGGTATAACTCCATTAAAGTCAATGGAGAGATGGCAGATTACATCAGCTGAGAATCTGGCCCAGAATTTCCTAATACAAATGCTTTGCATTCCTTATTTTAAGACCAAAAAAAAAAAAAAAAATCGAAAGCTCTAGAATAAACACATATGAATGGCTGTGGGCCTAATTTGTGAGATCGGAGCATTTTCATTTCTCGGTATTGTTTTTAGGGTAGCTCAGCTTCACGTTGCAATCGTCTCACCTGAACTGCTCATCATAACAAAGTGATCAGAGAAGAAGCAGCACCTGGAAATGTACAGTGCATCATTCCTGCCCATTCACAACAACTGGCTTCCTAAAGCTTTCAAAATCAGAACATAATTTTGTATAAAAGATTCCTACCTTTCCAACATATTGATAATCAGAGCCTGTGTATTCCTCCAAGAGAAAGAACTGATTCCACATCCAGCTCCTTTTGGAACGAGTAAACTCCTTCCTGTTATTTCCAGACAGTTCCAAAACCTTTTCCTTTTCCGGAAAGCCCCTAGTCCTTTTGGATAACGGAGATGAAAAACTTTGGTGAGGCTGACCAACCCAGAACAGCAGCCAGAAGCAATGGTAAGTTAACATCATGACAGCACAAACGGGTCTACGCAGTGATTTCTTTCTTGGCCTCAAAGCAATCTACTTTACTGCACAGAATCCAGGTTCATTCCTTCTTCCTTTTTTAATGTTCTTTGCAGTCTCAAAGGATCTCTGGAAGGAAAAATGACAACATATCAAGCATTTGCAGAGGTACTTAACATTCAGAGCTAGAGCAAATAAGCCAAAAAGGTAGATCAGTAATTGTAATTGCTGAAAAGCTCTAAGCTGCTTTCAGTTCTAAAAGGTTGCAAGTGGTCCTTCAAATAAACTGAATGTAATATCTGATCTGAGTAGGAGGAAGCAGCTCTGCTACTTATTTTCTCTCTTTCTTCCATTACTTAAACATACTAGTTTGGGGTTATTGTCTTGATGAGCTGACGTGGGTTACTTCACTGCCTCTTTCATGTCTGGATTTCAGGATTCAGCTGATTTTGGTGGTCTCAGTCAGATCACACAGCATGTGAGAGGTACTGGTTACATCACAAAATATACTACTGGAAGGAGTACAGAAACCGTGGTGATGGATGTGTTTGAAGAACCTGATTAGGACAGAATTACTATATTAGAGGTGAAATCCCGGTCACATTAAAGTCAATGGGAGTTTTGCCATTAATTTCAGTTGTGCCAGATTTCACCCCAGGGCACCAGACCAGGTGAAAGGGTTAGTTGGATAAGTTGGCACAGTTGTCAATCTCTCCTGAGTACTAGACATGTGTGAAACTCAGTGATTTTGCTTTTCAGGGCATTTGCTGAATATTTTGATTTACCAGGTATTTTATCGCCTAATTTTCATTTTGAGTTTTAGGTCCAAACTAGAGCTAGTTAAATAGTTAAATACCTATATCTATCTATGAATAAAAGCATGGAGATGGTTCACTATGATTTGTGGGGTCTTAATAGTCATTATTTGGTATTATCCTTGTTATTCCTTAGTTGGCCACCCACTGAGTAGTTGTGAAAATTATCACAAACCCTACAAAGTTCATGAATTTCAGCATGAATAAATACGTGTTCCCCAAAAATGTGTTCCACAAGTTTGTTATTTGCAATTTGCCTCTTTTATTTTTAAAAAAGTTTCAGACATCCAATCCGGGAGCAGAAATGATATCGCGTGACATGAGTAACGAACAGGGAACATTTAGGAATACTGAACACAAATGAGAAAGACATTTCCTACAAAATGTTTTTTGTAGTGACTAATTTGCCTAGTTCGAGCCCAAACAAATCCTGAACAAAATGTGGATGAAATGGCTGAGTTTCACCTGGTTTTGCGAAGAAACTGCAACAATTTATTTTGTTCAGTCTCAATACAAAACCACAAAACATTCTGAGTTTGCTTAAAATTCAGCGTATCATCTCTCAGAATGTTTGCAAAGGAAGATTTTTATGATGCTGGTTCAATATTGTATCAAAATCTAAAACAAGGAGAGAATAAGGTTTTTGGGTTTTGTTGTAAACATTTCACAAAGCTCTATTCAGGAAATGACATCTATTAAGGATCAGATGCTGCCCTGAATTGAAGTCTCTTTGCTTCCAAAGATGTAAGTCAGGCAGAATTTGGTCCTTGAGATGCAGTAACTGAGTTAGATGGGAAACCATGCACTATGTCTGGTGTTAGCCACTGTTTTCAGTCTGTCACTATTCTATAAACTTCACAAAATAACCCCAAATCTCTTACATTTCTTTTTGATTAAACCCTTTTCTATATATAAAAAAAAATACCATTTAGCTATTTTAGAGGAATATCTGGTAATGGAGCAAGCCTGTTTAAAATAATGCCCTTTTACTGCTCTGCAAGGTAACATACAATAAATAGTTAACCTGTGAAAAGTCTGTGTTGTGCTAAGACATTTTTAACAGGAGGAATGAAAAGGGAATGTTTGATACTGAGATGCAGTGTCTAGTCCCCTCTTGATGCATAGGGGATTTTTGCATTTAACTCTTATTAACATTCATTAGACAAACAGGAACACTTCAGCCCTGCTGTCCATGGGAGTTGTCTACTTAGGCCTGGGCTGAATTTGCCCCATCAATCACAGATGTAGCAATCAGAAAATATATCCGCTGAACATATGTACCCTCTCTCCAATTGCAAAGAGAGATGTCCCACTGATTGGAGGAATAGACGGTGAGAAAGAGAAATAATCATGTGTCTTAAGTTCTGGAATGTAAGGCATTTGAATGTATTAGTAAGTGCAATACTAATATAAATGCCGAGACAGAAAGCTAGGCAGACAGACAGAGACTGAAACTGGTATAACTTATACCTTCTTCCAGTCCGCACAATGTGTATGTTACACCACCTTAAATGCCCTCTAGACTCACTATAGATATATCTATGCTGCAGCTGAAGGTGTGATTGCAGCTCAGGTACCTTTAATCTACCTAGAATGGCTAAAATAGCAGGGAAGACATGGCAGCACGGGCTTCAGTGCACACTAAGAATGCAAGTATGTTCCCAGCATTCTGGGTGGGCCTGTATAGCCTGTGCTTAAGCCTTGGCCACCACAGTGTCACTCCTATTTTTAGGTGCACTAGCTAGATTAAAGCTGGTGTTAGTATGCCTACCTGAGCTATAATCACCCCATCGACTGCAGCACAGATATACCCTAAGGCCTGGTCTACACTAGGCGTTTATGTCGAATTTAGCGCCGTTACATCGAATTAACCCTGCACCCATCCACACCACGAAGCTATTTAGTTCGACATAGAGCTCTCTTAAATTCGACTTCTGTACTCCTCCCCAACGAGAGGAGTAGTGCTAAATTCGAAATGGCCATATCGAATTAGGCTAGGTGTGGATGGAAATCGACACTAATAGCTCCGGGAGCTATCCCACAGTGCCCCACTGTGTTGACGCTCTGGACAGCAGTCCGAGCTCGGATGCTCTGACCAGCCACACAGGAAAAGCCCCGGGAAAATTTGAATTCCTTTTCCTGTCTGGGCAGTTTGAATCGCATTTCCTGTTTGGACATCGTGGCGAGCTCAGCAGCACTGACAATGATGCAGAGCTCTCCAGCAGAGGTGACCGTGCAATCCCAGAATAGAAAGAGGGCCCCAGCATGGACTGATCGGGAAGTCTTGGATCTCATCGCTGTGTGGGGCGATGAGTCCGTGCTTTCCGAGCTGCGCTCCAAAAGACGGAATGCAAAGATATATGAGAAGATCTCTAAAGCCATGGCAGAGAGAGGATACAGCCGGGATGCAACGCAGTGCCACATGAAAATCAAGGAGCTGAGACAAGGCTACCAAAAAACCAAAGAGGCAAACGGACGCTCCGGATCCCAGCCCCACACATCCCGTTTCTACGAGGCACTGCATTCCATCCTAGGTGCGGCCGCCACCACTACCCCACCCGTGACCGTGGACTCTGAGGATGGGATATTGTCTGCGGCCGGTTCCTCGGACATGTTAGCGGACGGGGAAGATGAGGAAGGAGATGAGGAGGACGAGGCAGTCGACAGCGCTTGCACCGCTGATTTCCCCGACAGCCAGGAGCTCTTCATCACCCTTACCGAGATCCCCTACCAACCGTCCCCAGCCGTTACCCCGGACACAGAATCAGGGGAAGGATCAAGCAGTAAGTCTTTTAAACATCTAAACATTTATTTTTAACAGAACTGGAATATTTATAATATTAACAAAGGGTTTTTCATGAAGTGTTTTAAACATCTAAACATTTATTTTTAACAGAACTGGAATATTTATAATAACAATGGTTTTTTCATGATTTCTTTGCCTTAGGCGCTTAACTATTTAGTCCCAACTATTTAAAAAAAATCTAACAATGTCCGGTTTTTCATGATTCTGCTGCCCAAGACGCTCCACTCTTTAGTCCCTGCCAGTGCAGCTACACCAAAATCCGGTCTATATGTCCGGGGATAGAGATGAAATCCTCATGGGAGATCTCAACGAAGCTCTCCTGGAGGTAATGTTCAAGCCTGTTCATCAGGTTCCTGGGGAGAGCGACCTTATTGGGTCCTCTGTGGTACGAAACGTTTCCGCGCCAGGAGACAATCAAGTACTCAGGGATCATTGCCCTGCAGAGCATGGCGGCATACGGCCCTGGTTTTTGCAGGCTTTCCCTAAGCATCCGTTCCTTTTCGCTGTCCGAGATCCTCATCAGGGTGATGTCGCTCATGATGCCCTGCTTTGAATTAGGTAGGGGAATGTTAGTATTGGGACTGCTTTACAGCCACGCGGTGGAGGCGGGAGAGGGGCAGCATACAGGGATCTTTCCCTGGGACAGCCGCGAGGGGGTGGGACAGGGGCAGAGTTCATGCTTGCCTGATTGCTGGCAGCAGAGACTGGCATTGCTTTCAATGTGAAAGGAGGCCAGTGCTACTATTAAAGTTTTAAGCAGCCACAAGTCTACGGCTTACCATGTTTGCCCGCTACACAAATTCCGGTGTCCTGCCCCGCTTCTCAGATCGCCACTGCAAGACCACAGGCACTGAAGGCGAGGGCCGAAAATTCGACCTTGTCCTGAGTGCGCATGTGATAGGTGCAGTGCATGGTCTTGTTCACAGAGAAAGACTATGTTCTTTGTTCACAACTACATTTATCTTTCTGAAGAATTCACTCCCTTTTTCCCATTCCCACAGCCACATCTGCGACTGTCTCCCAACCCAGCCTGGCATCACACTCCCAGAGGCTAGCGCAGATTAGGCGGAGGAAGAAGAAGACGCGGGAGGACATGTTCTCAGAACTAATGTGCTGCTCCCGAGCCCAGGCAGCCCAGCAGACACAGTGGAGGGAGAACTTGTCCCAAATGCACAGAGCAAACATGGAACGGGAGGAGAGGTGGCGTCAGGAAGACCAGCAGGCGACTCAAACGCTGCTTGGACTGATGAGGGAGCAAACGGACACGCTCCGGCGCCTTGTGGATGTTCTGCAGGACCGGAGGCAGGAGGAGAGAGCCCCGCTGCAGTGTATCTGTAACCACTCTCCCCCGCCACCAAGTCCCATACCCCCCTCACCCAAAGTCC